ATGAAAATAGGGAATGCTGCTTCGAATAAAAAAACTCATTGAATGTATTATATCAACAGTGTTACTTAATTCTAACCTTTCATCAATATAAGAGAGTTATGGGCCTATGGGCTACTTCGTATTTCGTCAACTATACCCCAAAGGTTTCAGAGAAATATCCTTCGTCTCCTGATACTGAGATCTATCTTCACGAGAGCATATAATTGTTTTTATCCACTGAATCATTCTCATTACCTATTTCCAGTTGATTTACATCAGAAACATCAGACGTTTGATTAAGGTTATCAAAATCAAATCATAATTATATCAATATGTTATACTCTCTGAATATGCATATCACCAACTATCTATAGTAATACACTAGTATCATAATTTCAATGCCGGCAGCATCCATTGTTTTATTCGAAAATAACAATCTATACTTTGGCAAATGTACTCTCTGCCTACAACCGCGTATAATTGTATTCATATACCTAGGTATTCATTAGTTTGAGCAAATTACCAGCACTGAATATGGTTCGATTGAATATTGATTCTTGTTCAGCTGTACTGGGTGACACGTTATAAAGTTCTACGTTCTGTAACCCCAGAGAGAAAATGTTAAAAAACACCTTCAGGGGATTCTTTTCCTTCTCGAAACATACATAAGATACATTTTTCTACTCACATAACTAAAATGGCATTTAGCGTACCGATATGTATCACGCTAAATAATGATCGATTAATCACGGATTGTCGATCTGTGATTTATCCAAAATATTCAACACGTTACCATGACAACACGGTTTCTCAAACACATTACCATTGCAACGCAGTTCATTAAACACAGCTTCAGTAATTTGAGACATGTCTGGCCTGTCAATTGTATTAACTGTCAACTGTTATTTCCGAATTTTGTATCAGAATTATTCAAACAATATTCGTTTGTATCAGAATTCTTCATTAAAAATATATGCGAAAAGTAGACGAGAGTGAAATCGAAGAGAATGTTCTGGTACTTGCATATCTCCAAGAAGTGTGAAAATGAAGGATCAATCTTTGAGAACAGTTTCTTTATTCTCGCTGAACATGACAATGAACGTGAAACAAAGGTTAGTAAGCAATGGACTGGACACATCTACAACCAATATCACTCATACGTGTCTCGCTAGTTGCATGCAGTTGCATGTATTATGTTCTCAATTCCCATTCCTTTCGAATTATTTCGACAGCAAGAGTTGCAGGTATGTTAATGTAATTTTCGGAGTTCGTAGTATGTAACGCGTTTATAAACTCTTCTAGACACTCGTTTATTGAACACTCGCTCCGCTCTGCTCCGCTCGTGCTTATAAACTACTCGTTACTAAAAGGACGTTTATAACACTTGTTACATAATATACTATTTCACAATACCTGGAAAAATATACTGGGAGCAGAAAATCATGCATGAATTCAAAATTGGACACCCAATATAGTTTGTCACCATTGGAAAAACCTTCTGAAGAGCTTTACAAAAATACAGCAGCCATTATATTCAATTTCCATTTCTCAAATTATGGGCACTCAAAACTCAGATCGATGGCGCTGATCACTAGAAATCAATATTGAATAATCATAGACATGGTATATACTTCCGAAAATCTGTCAATATCGACCAAACTCTGTTGGTTTTGAAAGCCCAATCTGTGAGAAATACGGAACAAATACATGATATTTTTGAAAAGCTTCTCAAACGGTCTCACCAATGATGAGAAATCGGGTGTTAAATTCGAAATTCATCCACTGTTTGCTGCTCCCTGTATATTTTTGCAGATAAAAAAATGTATCTGTTGATTCGGAAAGAAAGAAAAATCCCCTGTAGGGGTATCATTATTTTTTTTACTGTCAAAAATGAAAGAGTCACATTAAGGGATAGTACTTCATAACATTTCACCCGGTATCTACTGCATGATGCACATGCTTCAGGAACAAAGAAACGATAAGATTAAAAGACTCGTATTCCTTTGACTTGGATGAAGCAGCGTTCCATAAAGGAGAAGTAATTTCACTACATTAGAGCTTATGATTAGGGTTGATAAATTATGTAGCTAAAAGTGGATGATAACGTTCATACAGTAAAGAGAAGAAGCAGTAGATACAGTAATGAAATAATGAAACATATTTTACCTACGGCCACTACAGAAAGTAGGCAAGAACACACGAGATACAGCCTCAGTACGCACAGTAAGCACATCGCACAGTTTTCGTTTATTCCGCTAGTCATGATCGCGTAATCGCCGTCGACTGAGTTACCTGAAAATTTTCGTTATCATCGATATTTGATTGTATGAATACACCGAGGGATACAAATATTGTTGACAATGGACTAAAAGATGAGAAACTGCATCATTCATCACTATTGAAATCCATTTCACCCTGCACGAAACTTGTTTCGACTCGACTTTTTCGAGAACATCGTTCGATATTCAAATCTCGTTCTAATTATTATGAGGTTGAAGTTTGTTATCTTAATCAATTTGGCCTTAAATTGATGACTACCATACCTCGTGATAAAGTCCTATGATGTGTGGTCCTGAACCATGAAAGTATCTCAATCGATAATACATCAATCCCAGTCTATTTAATGAAAACCACGTAGCAAGAGAATTTTCTGTGATTAAGACAAGGAGAAGAGACATGCATCAGGAAAGATTATTCGAGGACCTACCTAATTACTTATCGGTATATTGAGCGTTGTTGGATTCAATCAATACATTCATTATTTGAATAATTTCTCCATTATTTTGAGCTGCATGTGATTTGAGTCCAAATTTAGATCCTATAGTTGACCAGCAGCAAATCTGGAAGATAACTGAGAGGAATTATTGATGAGAGTGTTTCGTATGTGAACGAATAGTTTGGATCAAAATTGTTCTTGTTTGGAATGCTGTCCTGCTGAAACAAAATTGATGGGCTGCTCCAATAATTTCTCTAAAAAATATAGGGAACACCCAAATCAGCAGAATGTAAAATCGCAGATCCGCAATCCATCAGAATATACATTTTCAAACCAGTAATCAAACAGAACAATACTAGATAGTAACAGATCGCAAATGCGCAGATTCCATCAGAGTCATATAATATCAGACCGAACAATGACAGAATGTACTTTATCAGACTGTGATGTCATATACTGTATTCTGATTCAGGACAGAAAGCTATGACTAGTCGGATATTCATTTCTTGATTTTTTTATTCTAGTTAATAATACAGATGCTGTTATACAACTCAACTAATAACTTCTTACCTAAAAATTCATGGAATCAAGATTTTGCATCGCATAATTAGGCAGTTGGTTGATTTCTGTCAGAGAATCATTCAAGATTGTGAGTGGAATGTATCTTTGTATAAAATTACAGTGCAGATATTCATGCCATTTAGTTTCAAACCCTCCCAGTGAAGTACTCACCTATTATGTACCTACCTATATCTATCTATCATAGGGAAAGAAACAAATTCTGAATTTATCGATGGTGAATTGCTCACTTGGTTCTATTTCTATCGATTTTTGTACAAGCATCACTGCCCTCTTGTCAATAATATTGAGGAATAGGAAGAGTACCTGAAGTTATTCGGAGAATGAGGTATTTTGAGCTTGGTAACATTGTGTTAGCGCCAGCTGTTTCATCTCTTTTTGTGTGCCTAATATCGTTGATATATAGAAACAATGTTCAATTTATTGATTTTAATAATTATTTAACGGACTTTCAACATAACTAGAACCAAACTAGGTGATAAAAATAGCATTACTGTTAGATGCTTGCATCACATTTTATCCTAGCTGATCTTGAAACTACAATGGAATACTTTGAAGTTCAGCGTAAATTGAATGTGATCTGCAGTGAATCACCAATCAACTAATCACCTACTACATATCAATTTCAAATCATTGCAAACCTTGCACCATATTGCACTTAGAATCAATTCAAGGATTTTATAGAGATCTGACACCGGCGGAGTGATTCCCATATGTCAGAGCTCCAACCAATCAAATGACAAGAAGACAAATGACAATTGTTATTTGTCTTTTGACATTCTGACACTTGTCAACTGGAGTTTCCTTCATGTTACTTGTGGTATCAAGTTGTTTTACGTTTTGTGGTTTAGTGACAGATAACACTATCTTCCTCTGATCGACGCTGTGAATATTTTCGTTTAACGAAAAAATTTCATTATAAAGCTATATTTATTCTCGATAAAAAATCCGATAACAATGAAGGGGTAAAGGGTCCCTTTGGTTGAAAGATTCCTGCTAATTATTTCGCCGTTCTAATAATTATATATATATAATCTTATCTTGAATAATGTCATTAGCTCTGAGTAATGTTGTAGGGTTTTTTATATATTTGGCTGATGATGGGCTTTTGGCGGGCCCAAAACATGTCCGACTTCCCATTGTAACATTTTGTCATTAAGAATCGTGAAGATAACTAGAACATTTTCCTTTCTTCATTTGATACATTGAGTTCATTCATGGAATATCAATTCATTATTATAAAATTAAAAATTATACTTATGTGGCTCAAGAAGAAGAAGTCATTCCATGTTGCCTCAAGTTAATATTCATCATTGGTTCAAGAGTGTTGAAGAATTCATATACCTCCACTTCTTGTAGAAGTGCAAAATGAAACACCGAAATCATTCCAAAAACAAACCAAGAACTAACGATCTTGAAGTTAGATGATTGAATCGAAATTTTCACAGAACTGAGATGAAGTTTGAACACTTGTACCTGAAATTGTACATGTTCGGAAAAATAGCTTGTTCAAGGAGGAGTTGATCATTCAAAAAATTCCACAAACAGTTCGAATTTACCTTCATGTGAAACATTGTACCTACAATATTCGGCAATATTTTACCTTATTATTGCAATAATCCTCTACAGATCTTTGACAAAACGAGCATATTCAAAGTTAATGTTCTGAGCACACATTCAATTAATTTCCACACCAACACCCAAATTTCCTGTACGAATCGTTCAGTTTAATTTACTTGGTAGTCATCGAGACGGAAACAGTCAACATCGAGATCCAGGAAGAAACATAATAGCGAAGCCGGGGCCCACGCGCTTTCCATGCGAAGTCGCAGTTTTCCCGGGAAATCGGCGAAAATCACCGGTGAGGATGTTCGACGGCTGCCTACTGGAGCTGGATTCGTCTAGGGAAACCGGTCGGGAAGCTAAGCGCCTGCGCAACTCGAGTTGCCGCGCATTTTCGTCGGAAACTGTTCAAACGGTGGTTTCGTCCTTCTTGTTTGTCACGTGATTGTCCTTGGAAAAATCATGTTCGTTCAGAATTCCTGTCCAGAACAGCACAAACATCTCTGAGCATAATCACAGAGTTGCCTTTAACTCCTTGTTTCATAGGCTTCACAATTAGGTTCGGTTTTTTAACTGTTCTGTTTCCCACGAGAAAGGATATCCTGTAATGTTCAGAGAACCAAGGGAAATAAGGTAGGAATTGGTGTTCTTCTTGAATTTCTGGAGGTTACATGCCTTGGGGAACACATCCATTGGCAATATGTTCCAGAGCCTCGCTTTTCGTTGGATGAACGAATCTTTGGAAAGAGATGTTCTGCAGGTCTCCAAAGAGACCACGAAGGGGTGCGAAGCCTCAACTCGAAGAGTATCGTCCATTAAAATATCTATAAAATGGAGCCAGATCGCCAACTTTTTCACGGTGTTTCAGAGAAGTGATTGAGTTTGTGAGCAAGGCATCACCCACGAAAAGATTTGTCGTTTTTTGGACAGAAACCAACAGTTTCAGAGTATGTTTGGGTGCTTCACTCCAGATATGGGAACAGTATTCCGGGACATGTTCACACAGAAGTTAGTGAATCTATTCAGCCCTCAATCGTTATAGTATTTTGTGGCTTCGTCGTTGTTGTTTGTCACGTGATTTTTCCTAGAGAAATCATGTTCGTTTAGAATTCCTGTCCAGAACAGCACAAACATTTCTGAGCATGATCAGAAAGTTGCTTTTGACATTGGTGAAATAAGCCTCTGGTGTACGCCCTTCAATCCTTTCCTGTTTCACAATTCCTTGATTTCCAAGGCGTGGGTGAATTTCCGAGTTTAGTCTGGTGCCGTAACAAAATTACAGGCATCAATGTGACAATCGTGACCTATTTGTGACCAATGAAGGAGGAGAACTAAAATTCAATTGTTTTGATCAAGAACCAGTCCGACTAAAAAAAATGAAGAGTGAGCGCACCAGAGGTTTATTTCATCAATCTTTTAACTCTTTGTTTCATAGGCTTCTCAATGAGGTTTTGTCGCTAGTCTATTTTGGCACCTCAATACCAATTTAGACGTTGGACGGTACGAGCTTTCAGTATTTGTATAAGTGAGATTTATTGTATTCAATCTATCTAGACATAAATCAATGGCTGAAATATTTGCCTGCGATACGATTGCATAAGACCTTATAGTAGAAGATCCGAACCTAAGTCGACCTTCACCGAGCTGATAATAGAACGAAATATATTTTATCATGAATTCAGTATATTAAAAAACATATTAAAAATGGGTTGCCTAAAAAAATCCTGGGCAGACTATTTTTAATTATTTTTCGAAAAATTATTTTTAATTAAATGTTGCAACATCAGGATAATAAAAAAATTGTGTCCTGACTGAAAGTATGAAACGTATAGAATGTGCAGCCGTTGGGGTGTCTACTATTTACCTGGGCGAACTACTGGCTTGTCAGGTAAACACAGGTATATCGATGCCAGTTACTTTCACTGGATTGGATAATTTAAAAAAATGTATATCATCATAAGCGCTGTTTAATTGCGAACACGTTGATATAGGGTTGTCTGCGAAAATTCCGGTCCGATTAGGGGTTTTTAATTTCAACGCGCGTGGAAGTGTGTGACAGAGAGATCCGAGGTAAGTATACTGTGTGATAATAAAGGACCCAACATCGCAGTCGCTTGTGATGGGACCCTGAATAGTAGAAAGTGTGCGAAGTCAAATCCTGAAAACTATGGTTGGCATTTTGATGATTTCTTAAAACCAACAGGTTTTATCGGAGATCAAACTCCTTTGAAAATCCAGGACATTGTCGAAATGGAAGCAAATGAGGAAGAATCTAATGAATCAGACGAATTCGAGAGTCAAAATGATACTTCTGATGAATCAGATATTGAATAGAAAATATTTATTAGAATTTATTTTTCATTAATATTATTTTTGTATTTATACTGTTTTTTAATAAAATTTCAAATCGTAATACAAGATGTCTAGTCTATCTTTTTTGTTATTTCTTAATTTAAATTTTTGGCGGTCCACTTTGTTTCTATTTCCAGAAAGAGCAAAAAAATTTCAAAGTAAGTATTTGATATTTTTATTGTCTATTATAGATTATAGATATATCATTATGGTTATAACGCAATATACTGATAGTATACTGTTTTTATATATTAGTATTATATTAAATATATTTAATTATTATGTAATTAATTAATTATTTTTTTTTGCTACTGAAATATCAGTTGCTCCAAAATAACACGCACTGTTTACTATATGAAGGGTAGTAGAGGTACCTCTACCCTCCATAGTTTACACACCGAGCATGCGCACTTTCTACTATTCAGGGTCCCATCACAAGCGACTGCGATGTTGGGTCCTTTATTATCACACAGTATACTTACCTCGGATCTCTCTGTCACACACTTCCACGCGCGTTGAAATTAAAAACCCCTAATCGGACCGGAATTTTCGCAGACAACCCTATATCAACGTGTTCGCAATTAAACAGCGCTTATGATGATATACATTTTTTTAAATTATCCAATCCAGTGAAAGTAACTGGCATCGATATACCTGTGTTTACCTGACAACCCAGTAGTTCGCCCAGGTAAATAGTAGACACCCCAACGGCTGCACATTCTATACGTTTCATACTTTCAGTCAGGACACAATTTTTTTATAATCCTGATGTTGCAACATTTAATTAAAAATAATTTTTCGAAAAATAATTAAAAATAGTCTGCCCAGGATTTTTTTAGGCAACCCATTTTTAATATGTTTTCTAATATACTAAATTCATGATAAAATATATTTCGTTCTATTATCAGCTCGGTGAAGGTCGACTTAGGTTCGGATCTTAGACTATTAGGCTGACTGATAATCTTGGCATAGGTCAGCGACCGTATACACAGTAGTACGATATAGGTAAGGCTGGTCAGATGGAAACCTGTTGAAGACAGTATTTCGGAGGAAATTCCTAGAGTTTTTGTGTGCTTTTCATATCTCAATCAAGAAGAATTCAATTCAAATTTCTACATCATCAAACAATGATTTTTCCTCGATTATTTCCAAATGTATTTTCAACAGACAACGTTCTCGACCAACCAATCGGAGTTCATTACCAATTAATTATCTTGAAATCGTTCTACACCTATTTCATATGCAGTTGAAAGCTGTGTCAAGTCATTCGTTCGACCACAGTGGCGATACCAGAATGATCAATGGTTGACTTGCCCCTTTCAAAAGTTAGCGTGGTAACCTTGCGGGCAGGTTTGAAAAGTGACCGATATCCCTAAACAGCTGGTTGATCAGACTGATGGTAAGACTTCATACTGAACGTATGTGCCTGATCAAACCACAGACTTGACACAACCGAGGACTTATGATATCACTAAGATATAAGAATTTACAAATTCACTTGCTCTTAAACCCAACTGCATTTTCTTGTGAAATTTTCATTTCTGTATATGATATGGATATGATGCAAATGGGGTATAGGCTATTATAAGTCACGAATATGATGGTAGGCGAATACCAGTATATTCGAATTCTCTTGGATTCAGCCCATGCATGGAGATACTCCAAATAATGATCATAATAATAATATCAATATCGTCCTTATTATTTGGAATGAATCATTTTTCCTCTCAGATATCATGAGATAAATGGCAAAGTTCATTGTCTGCAATGTTATGCATCAAAGAAAATGCTCTATCTATACTATACATACATTGAGAACACTGATAATAGATTGGCACTTCATCTGGATCGTTCTTACTGCATATCTGATTCAATCTCTATTAAATTAAATATGTACCATTACAGTGTGCTTTACTAGAGTTCTATAAAATCGTTGTTTCTTTCAAGCTAGGTTCCCAATTCGATTCTCCTCCATGCAGATTGCAGATCATCTTTACGATTGAACAATTCAACTCATTTCCATAATATTTCATCTTCACGAGAATAAATTGAGAATGATCAGAGAATGTTAAGACGATATAAATGTAATCTCCGATACCGTCGACGTCTTCTCCTTTTTCCGCAAAGTATAATTATCTTCTGACTAATTCAAAAAGTTGATCAGTGACTTCTTTTTCGAAGTAAACGGTGGTTTGTTAACTCCTGAAATTTCTCTTACTTTCGCGTGAGAAAGTTCAAATTTGTGCAAAACTGATGACCAATCTAAATATGATTGGTATGTGCTACAGTCGAATAGAATGCCCTTTTTCTTTTATTTCTACATATTCCATAGTATTTGACAGATGACATCACAATTATTGAGGGTTCATGACTGTTCGTTTCCTCATTTTGAAATATCAGCAATGTGAAGTTGGTATAGGTTTCTTATAATGAGATTTTGAGCGCATTGATACTCTGAAGTAGATCATCTGATTGTCCTGACTTCACGAACATCGAAATATTTACTTTATTTTTATAGAGAAGAAGAAAACAATTCTCCACTTTCGGAAGCATTCTGCAAATTTCACTTTCCTGGCATTTATACTTCCAAATTGTGATAATCAATATACAAAATTATACATATCATGAGTCATATACATATTATAAGTCATATATATATTTCAAGCCTTCCACTGAAATAATTGAATGTTCAATAACCTGTCTCTGAGATTGTGAATGTCTCTTCTGCATGAATGGGAAATAGACATTTTGGAGAATATATTTCAAACTGATTATGCCTTGAATTCATTCCAAGATCAATTCATATAGGTAAATGATATAATGATCAGGATAATATTATCATAACCTTATGAAACGAGATCTAATTCAAGAAACCCAACATCGATAACTCCGCAGCAGAGACGACTCACTTCCCAATAAATCCTTTCATCACATGTTCAAAACTAAAGCTCCATTTCCCGTGTCCCACTTAACTATAAAATCCGTGATCCTCTAGGGTCCTCGTAGATCCTTCAGGTCGACACCAGTCCCTTTCATAGCCCACTTCCACAACTCTACAGGGACTGTTGTTTTTGTCGGAGCACAGGCATCGAT